GCTCATCACCGCAAACGTAGCAACTCTTCGTAGGTGTCCAAATTTCTGACGAATCCCTTCTCCGAGACCTTGAACCCTCAACCCTGAAGCCCTCTCACTCCCAAACCCTGAAGCCATTCAAACCCTGAGCCCTAAGCCCTCAAGACCTCTCTCAAACCTTGAAACCCACAATCCACAAGCACCCCGGAGCCCGATCCTCGCTGGCCAGCGGCTGACTGGTAGCAACCATACCTCGACGACCATAAACCTGGAAGCGGATATTTTTAGGCTTTGAAAAATACTCTTTGCAGCCTTCGGTTGAGGACTCTTTGCTTAAACATGGAATCCGGAAATCTTGGATCTATGGGCTTCCAAACCCTGAACTCCTGAATCCTATGCATCCCACACTCTCTCTCTCTCTCTCTCTCTCTCCCGTTGCATCCAGAGAGCATCCACACTTATTGCCCCAGGTGATGCAAGACCTAAGCCTTCCCCCCTCGCAAGACCTAAGCCTTCCCCCCTCGCGACGGCTAAGATGCTGCAAGTGGCCGGGGCGCGCCGGGAGCTGAAGACGATGCCAGGTTGCGCCATGGCTGTAATGGAGGAAATGTTTGCGCCCGTCTTCCATGACAACTCTTGGCTTCCCGTAGGTTGTCGCAGTGTGGTAGAGAATGCTGTTTACTAGCTCGGAGGCCTGCGTATGTTTGGAGATTGCCTCCTTGGCCCAGACTCTCTACACAAAAACAAGGTCTTAAGTTAAGCTGAAGCCAGTTCTGCTTTGCTATAACACACTTTCAGGACTCACCGTTTAGCATGCTAGCATTTCACGAGCGCTTGGCTTTACCATCTTAGTTTCTGACTTCCTCTGCGCTCGTTTCGTGTTGGCGAAAGCCTTTGGTGAGGTCTCTGTTGGCCAACATTGCTACAAGGATCCAAACCTCGCTTCAGGGTTTCGTGGTGGTAGGGAGCATGAAGGTTGTGCTGATGAGTTTGTAGCTGGGCCTTCCACTTACAGCTCTGCTTTTCTGCATGCGCTGCTAAGGATGCTAAAGCCTTGAGGAGTCGGGATCATTCAAAACTCTACAGTGACTACGGGAACTCCTTCAAGGCATGGCCTTCGAGCTTCTTCGAGACATCAGAAGCTTGAGGGGAAACGGGGTGGCCGCCTAGTTTCCTTCAGGTATACAGCAGTAGTCATACATGTGGGCCACCCAAACAAGGAGGTGTATGTCGGATGTGCTGAGAGTTGAAATGCTGATTCAAGTTGCCTTCAAGTTGCTTTCGATCTTCTGAATCTTCCGAAGATCGGGAGCACGGAAGAGGTAGACTCAAGGACTGGGCCCCCCCCCTCTCTCCCACAGGCTCAGTCACCTCTACTGTCAACGGGAAACTGTCAACGGGAACTGTAGCACCGGGTTGGCTTGACGTATAATTTGGGGTCAATCTACTGGCTGGAGAGGTGCCTCTAGCCGCCCACTGCACACCTTCATCCAAGATACGAGCAAGACTCGGCATCGAGAGTGTCCTGATGGATGGGTCGGACAGGTGTCGGGATGCTCCGGCCCCTGAACCAGCCCAAAATTCAATTCAGGGAAGGCCCTCCCTGAGGCTGCAGTAAAGTGAACACCCCGCTTCAACGAACCAGAGTGCCAGTTGCTGTGTGCAAAGAAAGAGGACCCTGCAAAGCCGGGCGAAGCCTGGGAGGTATCACATTCGGCCGTGATGTCGCCGTGCTCCTGGAAGAGCTTCTCACCTCGGAAGTTGCACATTCTGCGTGCTTTCAGGGCCGTCGTCGCCCAAGCAATGCGACCAATATGCGCAGGGTGCTTCTACAGGTGGACAACGGATGAAGGCTTCAGGTCTATCATTGTTTTTGGTTTCTCGGGTTAGGCATGTGTCCTGGATGTTCAACTTCAACTACTCCCACTTAACATTCAGAGTTTCTACACTCCGTAGGAGATACCCAGAAACTAGGCCCTGCAGGAACCTCAGCACATTCAGGTTTCGTGTTGGTAGGTGGACAGGTCGGAGGAGCGTCTTCATTGGACAACGGGTGGAGATTTTTCTTGACAAATATCATCCGATGCACCTCATCTACTTTACTTTACTGGAACTAGATCCCTAGCTGAATCCCTTGCAGCTACCCATGAACCTCCATGAAGTTTTGCACCAGAAATATCCAAGGCGGGAGCACCTGTGCAGAGGTGTGTTTGTCAACTCTGGGGTCGATACACCTTTTCTTCGTGTCTTCCAGGGTCCTGCGTGTGAGAACATGGCTTTGAGCTTTCAGTGTCCATGGGCAGCGCTGTCAGAAAAGTTGAAACTCAGTGGGCGGCGCGGTTGAGGCTGTTTAGGTGCGGTTTTGGTTGAAGTGTAATCGCCTCCCAGGTGTTGGGGTATACGAGCTTAGGGATGGGATACCCTTTGTGGATTTGGTCAGATGGACACAACTTGCTAACAAGTGGAGCTCTCGTCTTGAATCACGGGGCCCAAAAAATTTCGACATTTCTACTATAGACCAAGTATGTGAAGCCAGGAAGTTTAAAGTTTAAAGTTTTACCCTCACTCTGTCACTCTGAGATACACAGTCCAAGCGGCCCCTCACAACTGGACCCCAACGCAGAGAACCGTGGTTCCTGCCCCCATCTTATTCGAAGTCCTCGTGCGATTGTAGCATAGCTTCTCTGCGTACTTGTAGTCCGACCTTGCTAGGGATCAAATCGGGGTGTGCTGCCATTGCAAATTACACATCCAAGAATCCTGCTAGCCACTTAAGCTTCTAATCTACAGCCCTCCATTTTCTGAAACCCTCAGACGCTTCCCCGAGCTTCTTCATGAAGCAACACTTCGGCTTCGGCACAAAAAGTGCTGAGGTGGAAACACCATTGTTGAGAAGTAGTCGAACTGCTCAATCAAGTAACCTGCCAACGAATCATGTGGAAACAGGAGGGGTGACAAGCAAAGCCATGCAAAGCCAAGAACGCTTCGAAGCCACTGTGACGAAGCCCACACTCACAGTCTCCGTTTTCCTCAGTCCCCTCTTGCGTGGCGGAGGTGAAAGACTCGGACCCGGCGAAGCGCTGTAGTCCTCTTCTGTGAAAGAACCTCCTCGGGGATCACCGTCTCCAAGGGAAGCTCCCGAAAACTAAGCCCTGCAGCCTCCGCAGCTGCCTGGACCTGCTCGCTACCGCCTGCCTCCCGATTACCGTACGTGATGTAGGCATCTCCCTCTGGGCTCAGCTTCAACTTTGTCAGCTTCACCAGGGCTGCCACGTCGTCCTCGTCCAGGCTCCATGGAACACACGTGGGCTGGGCAACATACAAAACCTCGGACAGGAGGAGTACGTTGTAGACTGCACCTTCAGTGTCATCTACGCTACCTGGACCCCAGGATAGGCACCTCACCAGGATGTCGCCGTCGTCCCCATTTGCCAGTGCGTTGACCCGAGCAGCACACAGCGCCCGACCGGGACGATCCGATAGGATCGATAGTCCACAGCCGGCTTTCCTCGCCAAAATGCCAATGAAGCCCGTCCCACACCCCACGTCCAACACGGACCGGCCAGCCAAAACACCTTCACGCTCGAGGCGAAGAAGCCTTGCTACGAGAAATAAACTTCCAAGAAGATCGCCAAGGCTTTTCCGGACCCATTATTAACATACTACGGTAGTAGGCTTGTTGATTTGCTTTGTCTTTTTGTGATGGGGTGTGGGCTTTGTGCGTTGCAGAGAAACGGAAAAATAACTATCGACAGCACAAGGACAGGAAGGCCATGGCGTGTGTCCCCGGCCAGATTCGCAGGCCCAAGTCGTCGGGGGACAAGTCGTCGGCTCGTTGTTTTGCCATGTACAGCTTCACCTCGAGTTGTCTATCCTACATGAGGCGTCTTCGTTGATTCATCCGGGACCATCTTGCGAGATCCTTAAGGGAAGAACGTGTTTAATGATGCATGACCCACAGAGACCCCCTCCACGACCTTACCTAGAAACCGGCACCTTGTGCGGACCAACTTGGACAGAGCATCCCCTTAGCTCTGTGTCGAGCTCCTCGGAAAGCTGTGTTTCCAGCGGCTCAAGGTCTTCACATGGGAAAAGGCAAGTATCTTCGCCCACCCATTCATCCGCCGCAGTGGAATCCATGCTGATTTCGAACCCAAACTCGCAAAACTACTAGAAACGATGCCTTGCACATCCGGCAGCATTACTAAGTCAAGTAAGTCAGTCAAGCAAGCCTGGACTAGTCCGACAATGCCAAAGCCATGATTTTTTGGTAGCTTCGGCCACAGAGCCAAAAGTGCAAGAGAGCAAGATGCGAAACCATCGAACGGTCTGAAACCCAAGGAGTGCGACAAACACTGCCACTCAAGAAGATCTAGCTTGGAACCGAGTTGGTTCGAGCTACTTTGCCCGCACAACCAGACAAGACCAGCGCACCTTCCACGTCCACAGTGCCGATGGACGGACTCAGTCAAAAGCCAGTTTGGCCAAACAATCGCGGCCCCGCTTGGAAAAAGTTGGGATTTGAACTTTAGACGCTCACAACTCGCACAAGTCAAGCAATTCTTCACACACACGTCTGGCTAAAACAGAGCTGCAACTATGAATGAGTGCTCAGGAGGCTCCAAGGCCCAAGAGTGGACGATCGCGCAGCAATGTTCCTCAAAACCCTTGAACCCCACAACCCACCGCCTCTCGCCGCTTCGCTGTTTTGGGATCCGCTCATGACTGTTGGCCAGTGCGTGAACCGGCACACGGATCGAAGCCTCAAACCCGAAGCCTATGAACCGCTCAGAATCCTTTTGAATCTAGTTTTGCAACACAACCAGGACAGCAACAAGAGGCACACCCGAAGCCCACAGCTTTAAGCTAGAATCCTAAACTCGTGAACCTCTCAACACAAGACGAGCCTGGGCCCGTCGTTTCGCTACGAGACACTCAGAGCTTCAGGATCTTCTCGGGTGCTCTCAATGCTCACCGCAGGCGAAGCACTTGAACCCCCCACACCCTCAATCCATGCATCCTCAGCCCTGTTCTTGTCCGGGAGGCTGGTGGATCAATGGGATATCCGCAGGAGCGTTCTGCTGGTAAGTGGACTGCTTTGTGTCACACCTTGCTCGGACCATGAGGTGTAGGCTTTGGGGTCTGGCGATTCGGGAGGACTGGAAGCGCTTTCAGTTGGGGGGTGTCTGCCGGCTGACTTGACAATAGGAGGCCAAGGATGTTTTTTGAGTTCTAACTGTCTATCTAAAAACTACATAACCCATCCATCCCTCCATCCCTCCATCCCATCCATCCCATCCGTCCATCCGTCCATCCGTCCATCCGACCATCGGTCCATCCGTCCATCCGTCCGTCCGTCCATCCATCCATCCATCCATCCATCACTCTCTCTGTCTCTGTCTCTGTCTCTGTCTCCGTCCGTCTCTCTCTCTCTCTCTCTCTCTCCCGGGCATAGGGGCCGGTCAAACCCGGGCAAAAATGCCCACCCGATGTTGTTAATCGGGGTAAGGGGAGTGAGGAACGAGCATAGATTTGCCAATGACTGAAGTCCTAGTGTACGATAAAAGAGATGCGTCTAGAAGGTACCATGTATATGTATGAGTGAGGTTGCACCTAAACCTCACCTTCAAACGCGGACATCGGCCTGTCGTAAGTACCACACAAACGTTCTCCTTTGACGTCCTGTCATTTTGATGCACATTCACTCCGTCCCAACCAGCACTACCACAAGGATCCTGCAGTTGTGTCCGAAGCCGGGTGCCCGGCAACTCGACCTACTCGTGCTGGGGATCTGCAAAACCCCAGGACCCTGAAGCCTTAAACATGTTTCGAACCCAGAACCCCGAAAGGTCCATGAACAAGGATCAAGAAACCCACCTATCTAGTGAATCTGGTAGCCATGAGCGACTGGACTCACCGACACACTCGCACAGGACAGGCATGGCTAGGGTTTGCAAGCCAAGCCCGGGATGCTGCCTTTCGCTTGCGGTCGACCCACGAGCCACGCGGAGACTCAGAAACTAAAGCCAGAGGTCATGGAATCAAATGATCCCGCATCAGCGCACCCAAATCCCGACAGACTTGTAAACGAATCCGGCTGCTCAGACTTGTAAACGCCTGGACAGTTCAAGTCTCACACGGTGCGATCAATCAGACCAACTCTTTCGGCCAAGCCGCGTGGCTCCCCACTGGCCCGTGGTGGTCGCACCCTCCATGCTTCGGGGTGTTGGCCGCTGCTCTAAATAAACAGAAGATTACTTGAGGGTGTTGTTTCATTCTGACTGCTACCGCTATTCTAACAGGCATCTTCTGGGAATCTTGCAAAGAACTTCGATACCAGGAGCTTGGCTTTTCCCCCCATTCCAGAGGAGCTTCGGGATTGCAGTGTGTGTGTGTGTGTTTGATTTTGAAAGTTTCGTTCTTGGGGCTCATGCTTAGTGTCTAGTTCCCAGGGTTCTGGCGAAAAAACAGGGCAAGAATTCAAGATTGCAGGGATAGGTGAGGATGCTTTCTCAGCAGCCCAAGCCAAGTTTGCAGGAGGAGGGTTTCCTTCGTGAGGAACCCTGCAGCATGGCAGGCACATTTGCAAACTCCCTAGGCCCCAACCGTTCCTAACCTGTAACGCTAACCCGTACAAAAGCCCTTTTCCGACCAACTGGACCTCTATCCAATCAGCCGGGAGCCCGGTGCGGTAGACATGGTAACAGTTCCACCCCAACCCTCCTGTTCCTGCGCAACAAGCCACTCGGAGAAACCCGAAACCCTCCACGTTTGTAGGTTGCCAAGGCGCCGCTTTTTGATAGAACCTCTGCTGTGTCTTCAGCGCTTTGAGCTGGGGCGGTGAAGCACTCGGGTGCAGGGGCTTGAGAGGTAAGTTCAGTTTCGGCTTTGGGGTTTCCAGGGGTGAGCCTCCTAAATTCGCAAGGACAAGCCCGCATGTCAGGGTCGACGAGTCGGTAAAGTTCCGAACACTTTCAGCGAGGACGAGAAGAAAAGCTTCCAAGCATAGAGGTTTAGGGTTGGAGGTTCAGGACTTGCCTTGTGAAGGTGGTTCGGGTATAAGGTTTTGTGGGATGCTGTGGGTCTGCCTAGGACCTGGCCACATGCCGAGTTTGTGCAGTTTGGGTCGGCCTTTCGGCGCACTGGGTGTGGCAGCTAATTACACAAAGTAGGGCTGTCTTGAACCATATTCAGGAGGAGGAGGAGGAGGAGGAAAATGGCCCACAGACGTTGCTGCGGCCGTCAACCCACTTAAGCCCCCAAGCATCTCCGAGCGGCTCCGTAGTCGTCATAGCCGCTCTTCACGACGGATTCGAGAGGGAATACGGGTAGACCCCTACAACTGGAAAGGAAGATGGACGGCGAACACCTTACAGAACTTGCGGAACATGGCAAAAACCCAGGCCCCTAATAGAGAATGCCAAACCATGTTTCTGGACTTTACGTTGAGAAATCAAGTCACCCAATAGACCAAAGAAGTCAGAAAAGTTTACTATGTCTTCGTGGGCAAATTCCAACTACAGCGGCAAATTTTAACTATGCAGCGGCACTTTGTGTTTTAGCAGGCGAGGTTTCTACGGAACTTGCGTAAGATGGCAAAGGCCATGACCCCCAATCTCGGGATTGGGATTACAACACCAAACTTACAATCGGCAAGGGAAGGCGAAGAGCCTACGCATCTTGTGCAAGATGACAACCACCCAGACCTGGCACCATGGGAAGAACCCAATTGCGAGACAGGGGGAACAAGAACCCTGCACAGGAATGCGCAAAACCTGCGGGAGTTGAGGAAGATGGCAACGACCCATGCGGGAAGAATGAAAGGCGACGAACCGACTTAATTAAGCTTGCGGTAGCTGACAGCACCTTTGGCAGCAGAAAAGACAAAAATTTCCTCGGCGCACCCTGCAACAAGGAGGCGCAAAAGACGCACCTGACACAGAGCAGAGTGGAAGTGCTAGTTGGGCAAATAAAAGGAAAGACCAGGAAAGACAGCACAAAACAGACGGGATGGCTGGGTACGGTCGCGCGAACGGGATGACGTGACCACCTGCCACATAAAGGCCTTCTAAGTAAGCAAGCGAGCCTGTTTTGCGAGGAAAGGAAGGAGACTGTGGCACTGCCGCCCTGACGGGAGGAATACGGGCGAGGGGGGGGGGGGGTGCTCTTCCGGCCGAAAAAGCCGCCTTAGTGCCGCCCCGGGTGTCCCGCCCCACCTCGGCAAGACCCCATAGGTCTTCTCACAACCCGTCAGAACCGGGGGATGTACTTGAACCATATTATTCAATGCCTACTTAGGCCTCGCTGTACAGCTGCGACTACATGAATGACAGCATGGGGAAGATAGATATGCAACGGAATAGTCTTGAACCACTCTTGAACCCCAAGCTAACTCGCTTCACGCGGTCATCCGGGTTTCGGGTGGCTCCTTCTTTGGTTCTTATCTTACAGGTGCGCTGGAGCTTGGGCCGAGGTTGGGTTTCGATGCTGGTTCGGAGTTGTCGTCACAAAGTCGCATGTGCTCACCGGGTGACTTGGTGAAGTTCTGATCGCACGAGGCAGTCATGAGCTGCTGCTCGTTTTCTTTCCTTCGCTGCAGGCTCCTACACAAAATCTACACCCCTGACACAAAAGGGGGGGTGGTATTCCCTCCCACTTGAGGTTTTCATAGACATGAAGAGTTGCCCAACTGAGAACAGACGCCTTTTGCCGACTTCAGAAACCCAAATCCAGATGCCCTGCCCGCTCCAACACAAACTAAAATCCTGCTGGCACTCTTGCGATCGTTTAAAGGCTTCTCAACTAGGGGATCTCAGTTTGGGGCGCCTTTACTGTCAGATCCCTCCAGCATGCTTCACCACCAACTATCAACCAGACGTGCGACAGGCCCGCTGCGTGCTGCTGGGAATCTGATCATTGCACATGTCGTACTGGATCTTTTTCTCCTCCTGTCCTCAATCAAGACAAGGTTCTTGAGGACGGTAGGCTTGGAGACTGTTGAGTTCATGCAGATAGCAGCCGTACGAGCGACAAGGACTTGGCTTGCAATGGCGAGCGGTGAGCCTAGGAATCTTCCGCAACATCGGTACACATCAAAGAGTTGGTATCTGGGGATGTGACGGGATGTGCCAGTAATGCCAGTAAGCCACACTTCCACAGAATGCTAAAGTTTCACGGTCACTTGTTTACCAATTACATCTGGTTGCTGGTATCAAGGATCATAGCATGCAAAACGGCAAAACGGTGGCCGAGGCCCCAACACTTCGACTAGGCATTGGCTGGATCGCCACTAGACTCGAGCAAACAAACCCCTGATGCTAAACTACGAGCCCATTCTCAACGCATCCACACCATAAACAACCCAGAAGCCCCAATCCCGCAAGCACCGTCTATCAGTCTCCAAACAGCGGCCTCGAAACAGAGAGGCTCTACTCACCCATGCCAACATCTGCAAAGTGTTGAACGGGAACGCCCCTGAAGGTCACAAAGGGTCGGAAGACTTAAAACAGTACTTTCAACACCTCAGCTCAACATGTTTAAACCTTTCCAGCTGGGAATCTTCCACGGCAGTCGTTGTGCTTCACCTTCAGCTTCGCGAGGCCCTGGTACCTCGAAAGCCGCTGCTAGGTAGGACTCTCCCAGTGGCGGCTTTCGATGCGTGTTCCTGTTTTCAGGAAGTAGCCGCAGCCTATGGTGACTGCGGATGAACATCGCGGATGTAAGCTCTCTCCTGCCTCTCTAGTTTGCCTGCCGGGTCTAACTTACCTCCGAAAGAACCTGAAGCCCTCAACAACGGGTCCAATGAAGCCTGTGACCCGGAGCAGAACCCATCGGGAAGTGGACCAAGGAGGTGACTTGAAGTTCTACAAGATTGCATCATTACCAGTACCCAGTACCACCACCACCCATTGTCACAGGTTGTAGAAATGGTTTGTGCTATGGTTGTGATTGTGGCCCCCCAAGAATTTTGAACAAGCCGCGAGCCCTTCCCGTCTCGAACAGCGTTCGAGGGCTCCAGGGCTTTCTCCAAGATCGTATCGCAGAGGGGGAAACCTAGCTTGGGTCTCAAGGCTTTCAAGCTTCGGTGTGGAAGCCAAGACAGCTTCGGGTTTGGTGCTTGCGCTTGCGCCGTATGGCCCTGTGGTCGACTTGGTCGTTTCGAGGTGCTGATGCTCAAGGGAGGATCTTGGACCGTAGCCCTCATTCAGGTCATCGAGAAGGTATAAAGGTCACAGAGAAGCAAACTTACTCGCCCACATTCACAGTATCGTCCGCATGATCTGCACGATGTTCACCGTCAGGGCGCCGAAACAGGATGTCTGCTTCAGAATAGACGCAGACATCCACCGTTATGCTCCGAACAGCAGGACGACCCAGCTCGTGTCTCCAACTACAAATTGGGGCCCTGCTATGCATTGCAAATGACGTCGACGCATAGCCACATCATACGGTCGACCTGCTCAAGTTGCACACCTTTATCACTAGCTTAAACACCGCATAACACATGGCATCCGAATCGCTTGAACAGCGCATGCAGATCCAAAAGCGTGCAAACTGAACCGAGGAGCTTTTGACTCCCCGCTTCAAGATCTCATCGTCAGCCTGGCGATTTCGAGGGCATTTGGAGACGAACTCAGGGCTTTCCACAGAGGACTTTCGAGGGTTGAGGAGTTCAAAGCTTACGTAGTGCAGGGCTCTCTGGTCTTAGAGCGTCGGACTTCTGGGCGGGAGATTTGGGAGAGAAGTGAACAATACAGTTTAGGGTGACCAGGGTGGTGAACAAAGTAGGTGGGGCCGTGTGCGCGGCTGAAAGGAGCTTTGCAGGGTTGACAAAGCCTAATTTCAGGTTTTTTGGGTGAGTTTGTTGTTGGGGTCAGAGATGTTAAAAGAGCGCCTGTTACGTACAAGCACAAAAGCAGAACAAGAGCTGGTTCTGGGATTTATGTGGCCAGGCGAATCTTCCGAGCTCCTGGATTGTACAGTATGGGTCAGGCTTTATTCCCTTGTCCCCACAGTTTAGGCCAAGACACGGCCTTTGTCCTACCATTGTTGCACGAGGGGTCTTAAAGGAATGGGAAAGGAGTGCTGCGGCTTGGGGCAACCTTGCATTCAAACCCGTCACAGTGGCCTGGAACTGGGAGTTAATCGCCTGAATCATGGATGTATTCAGCAGGCTTTTCACCTCAGCCGCTTCATCCAACTCCACACGCGGACTTAGTATATTGCGGGGCTTTAGGATTTGCCTGTGCTGGGGGCTTCGGATTGGTTTCTAAGGACACCTCAGAGCTACTGATCTAGCAACTGGTACTCTACTCTTATGCTAGCGAGAGGTCCTCAGGATAGCCAACCTGTCTATACCAAACAAAGATAACCAGCCCGAAAGGGGTCTGTCCCTCTCTTCCGCACAGGCCAGGTGCGGCCCATGCAACAACCCATGCACGTTGCCGTGCACTGGTGGTTGCTGGTCGGCGTGGAGTGAGAATGAGTGACACAGAAAACTTTTGCTGCTTGCTTTCCACCCCGGCCCATCCATACCTTTTCAAGAAGGTGCTTGCACTCGTCCCAAACCTTGTGCGTGTGTACCTATGCCGCCTATGTCTACATACCCCCAACATGTGGTCGACTAATCTTCAAACCAAGCCGGCTTGTTTCGGCTTGTTCGCTGGAGCTCGGACCCCAGCAAGCATGTCGTCCTACGCTTGACATCGCCTTCATTAACTGGCGTGCTCTCCTCCAGCCCGGGGCCCATCTCGTCGTCTTCGCGAGCCGCTTACGTGAACAAAGAGCATCACAAGACTCAAGAACACTCCCTCACCCACTCGCTTGCTCTCTTTCTTTCGCCAGGGCTAGGGGCAAAGGGAGCAAGCCAAGCTCCCCGTGCCCGCGAGCGTCAGCGCCTCCCTCCCTCCCTCCCTCCCTCCCTCCCTCCCTCCGGTGTTTGTTTGCCTTCTCCTCCCCCTGCGCATGTCCGAACTGCCGTGCTGGCTCTCCTCTTCACACTCAACACCTCCCAAGAGACAACATGACATAAACAAGAGTTCCTGAGTGCACCACCCTCGAGACTTGTCTTCAGGACTTGCCTACTCCCTGTCTGAACAACACCTCTGCAGCACTCTATAAACAACTCCAACATCCACTCAGTTCCCCGACGGTGGTCCGTGTGGTTTGCAAGACCGCTCTGACTGCTAGGGCTGCTACCCAGGTGGGACATCCTGATCTACCTGAGGCCTGGAAGCTCGCCTGAAAACAACGCACCTGATCCACTGACAAAAACTTACCATCATCAACAAGCATGATTCCAGAAGTTTGCCCTCGCTTCTCTACCTGCTGCTACGGTGTCCCCGTGATGTTATGCTGCCTGGGGTCATTGACCCGTGGACCTCTGGACCTGATTGTATTGCCCCGGTCAAGCCTCACTGATAGCGCTATTGCCCCTTCCTTTTCTCTTCTTCTGCCACAGGGCTTAGGGAGCATGCGAAGCCCCCTGGCCACTAGGGGTCCCCCATTTTCTAGGGCTGTTGAAGGGACTGTGACGGCTGACGTGCCGGTATGATCAAGCTCTCTCTCTCTCTCTCTCCGTCCCTCCCTCCCTCCCTCCCTCCCTCCCTCCCTCCCTCGCTCTCTCTCTGTCTCTCTCTCTCTCTCTCTCTCTATCTATCTCCCTCTCTCGCTCTCTCTCGTCGCAACCGCTAGCTCCGGAAACCGAGTGACCGAGTCGACATAGACTGCCAAACTGGCCCCATTGCCGGGATGTGCCTTTGGGGGACAGGAATCAGACGAATCCCACGGAACATCCTGAGATCTGGTTGCAGCAGGCTTTGCAAGCTGCTTTTCTGGTGGAACCCTACAATGCAGCATTGTGGTTACTCAACGCTTCTATGTCGTGATGACAAGCCCGGCCTGGTTGCCCAGCTTCGTAATGGTCTGCCTCAGCTTACTATGTGTGAAAATGCCAGGGGTTGCTGTGTCTCTCTCTCTCTCTCTCTGTGTCTGTCACAGTGTGTGTGTGTGTGTCTGATGTGTGTCTGTGTCTGTGTCTGTGTCTGTGTGTCTGTGTCTGTGTCTCTCTGTCTGTCTGTGTCTGTGTGTGTGTGTGTGTTTGTGTGTGTGTGGGTGGGTG